AAAAAAAACTCCTTGTAGTTCGGTTATTTTTGCTTTTCAACCATAAATGTTCTTATCAACAAAGTTCCTGTTTTAATGACAGCAATTGTTTGCAACAGTCTGTGATCTGATTGTTTAAACTACTGCTGTATGGTTACAGTTATTATTAAAATAAAAGTAATTTCAGCCTGCGTCATGCCTGAATACTGTGTCATAATGTTTCTATTGTTCAATTAAGGCCAACCAACAAGTCAAACCAGTAGGGAAGGGAAGTAAACTTAAACTATGACAAATAAAGCTGAAAGAAAAGCACACACAGCAAGGACACTGAACAGACAAGACTGTCCTCCTCCCGAAAAACATCTGAGACCTTTTTCTGTGCCTTTTCTAATCTTTTTTTATTTTTTTGTCTTTTGACAACATGGACGGTCAGTTGAGTTTATTTTCATATCTGAATTACATGTTTAGCTTCACCTACTCTCTGAACTTTAAACATACTGTCACAAATAGATGGTTAGATTTCAAACTAATACCTATGTACTATAAGTATTGACCCTTTAGGATACAGTATGTACTGCTGAGATGAAATGCCTAAATGCAAAACACGTGAACCATACACATCTCAATTTTAGGGTCAGGCTTTAGTGTGCATTTAGTACAACGGGAGAAAAAAACAAAACAAATGACAAATATTTTTGGATTTTTAATTCATTAACTATTTCAATTGTTCATAACTTTATTTTCAATTATATTGAAATATTGTATGTCTGTAGTATAAAAAAGGGAAGCGGCAATCATTTTAACTTCAAGGAAGTAATTTGTATCCCAATAGAAACAATAAAACAGGTTGCACGCTCAGCCATTGTGTTACAGCCAAAGTTGTTGCTATAGCAACTAGAGTGTAGTCCAAACAGCTGATGGTGAGACTGTCTAAAATAATAAATGTATTTTTTTGACAGATTTGACTTATTTATTAAAGGATTTAGAGTTCTAATAAAGACATTTGTTTTGGTAGAGTTCATCATAATTTCCTACTGATGAATAACACAAACAAAATATAATATAATAAAGGCCTAGACAAACTATAGTTTGGGTGGCTGTGGCTGAATGGTTAGAGCAGTTGTTTTCCAATGCACGAGCTGGGGGTTAGATTCCACCAGCAGTCGCATGCCAAAGTGTCCCTGGGCAAGACAATGAAACCCTCATTGCCTTTGATGTGTGTCCCATCAGTGTATGACTGTGATAAAGCACCAATTATTATTTGTAAAGAAATAGTGGAGTGCTGTATTAATGGGTAATTTAGAGCACAGATTGTGTTGTAAAGTGCTTTGAGTATCTTAATAAGATGGAAAAGGTGCTAAATACTGTAAGTACAGTCCATTTACCATATACACTTTTATAGAATGATA